AATGGACCACAAGACCTAAAAGCCCACTAGATCCTTCATAGAAGAGGTCCAAAATTCCAAGTCCTTTTTGCCATATGATTTAGAAGGCTGACTATGGTGGCTTTTAAGGTTTCTATAACCTTAGAAAGTGAAGATCCTGAGAAAGAAGTGTCGTCCGTGACGATGGAGACAACTCCAACACAGATGATATCCGACATCGTCATGATTAGCTAATTCCTCTCTCAGGGCATTGATGTAACCCAATCTAGTATTATGGTTTGATTGTTTTAACTCTGGGATTATTTTAATATATTATGTTTCCTTGATTATATAACTATGAGCAATTGAGACAACTCAATTGGCTTTCATGCTTTAATAGATTACAAACTGTTATTACCTTGTCTTAGATAAAATTGTTTGTTTTCCATTCTCAACCTATCTTATTGGACGGTATCTGGTGAAGCCCTGTTGGGCATGAGAATAGAGGTCATATAATGGTGTTCCAATATTTTTTTATAAAAGAACGTTTTCATAGTCTATGCTTAGGAAAGGTGGATTGTTTGCAAAGTAGTTAAAGTAGTTAGAGTAGGTAGGTAGATAGTCCACACTAACCGCAGATAGGTTATAGTTAACTAAATTTTGTAAAACATCTTTCTTTAAAACCTGAATTGAATGAATGTTATTGAGTTCAATTTATTTGAAAAACATAATTGTTAAATCCCCGGAGTTGGTACAATTAACCATAGTATGATGATTTTGGTGAAGTCAAAGCCCTAAGATTTCTCTCTTTGATTATTTAATTTACTCTAGTTTAATATCCTGCTTTAATTTTAGTTCGTTTTAAATCATGACAACTAACAAATTTTTTAATCAGTTACCTATAAACCAATAAAACTAAATTGAAAACTGAGTACTAATCTCATCTCCCTGTGGGTTCGACACCTCTCTTTATAGCACTATCCTACACGGAATCGTACTATTACGAGTTGTAAAATAAAACACATCATCTAGCTTTTAACAATTTAGGATAATTCAATGTTGTTTATAATGTGTGTGTGTGTGTGTGCGTGCGCGTTACCAATTGAAATAATGAGCATGGGTGACAAAAACAAGCATGAATTGTCTACTTAAGCTAGAATATAGTACAACTCATCAAGTTAAGGCATGAACCATTCAATAAACCTTCAATCGGAGCACACATTAATCTAGGGAAATATACATCTTGTAACAAAAAGCATGGATTATCAAACACAAGCATGGATTGTCTACCTAATCTAGAAATTGAAATTCAATTACACTAAGACTAGGAAATTAAGCTAATTAACTAGAGGTGTAGAATAGTCCATCAAGCATGATCATAGTCCATCAAATCAATTCACAAAAGTATCTATTAATAATAATCATGCATAACCATCACTAGATTCTCAATTTAATCACACATAGACATGCATCAAATCTAGAGAAACTAGTGTAGAGACATAATTCCCAATTTAATCACACATAGACATGTAAATTAAACTAGAGAATTAATTGGAAGAATCCATACAAATCATAGACAAAGTCAAGATCGATACATTCAAAAGGTTAAACAATTATTACAACATAGAATCCCTAAAAATGTCAAAGGTCTAGGGTTTAGAAGACTAGCCTAGGGCTTTTCCAAGTTAGCCTCTCATGGATGTGGTTATGGAACCCTCAAGCGCTAAAAAGCTTGGATCCATCTTCTTCCTCTTGGGCTTCTTAATAGAAACCCTAGGGTTGATGAAGATTTTGCCTCTTTTCTTGCTCAAAAACCCTAAAATCTAAAAAGAGAAACTAAAGCTAGCTATAGACTATTGTATGTAAAATGTAACAAATTATGGAACCCTAAACAATTGGTTTAATTTGATTTAAGTACATGCTCCTTTGTCTAGGCAACAAGTCAGAAAATGGCCTTCTAATTGGTTCAATCATGCAGCCAAAAGTTAGGTGAAGTTCGAGCATGCTCGAGAATTAAATAGCTCACTGCCAGCAGCTTTTCAATCGATCACCAAGGTCTTCGATGGATTGCTAAGGAATGCGATAGATCAAAGATGATGTGGCATGCTTATCTTAACAACTGGCAACCTTATCTGTTTAGCTGGCGCGGACGTGGCACTGCGAATGATGGCTAATGGCTTCTATAAATCGCCACCTTGGACAAATGATGAGGTGGCAGTTTTATCCTTTTGCTAACATAGCTGCGATCGATTGCGTGGCCTTCGATCGATCGTGGATGAATCTTCGATTGATCGTCAATACTCTAGGGCAAATTTTCTGACTTTTTCTGGAATTTCTTCTTGACTGCAAAATGGGATTAATAGGCTATTTTTACCCTGTTTGAATCTTATTGACCTGAAATAGACAAAAATAAGAATTGGAACTAAAATGGGAAAGTAAGATGAATGGACTAAAATACCATAGCTTAGGTGCTAAAATGTGCAACATTTGAGCACTTATCACACCCTGAAACTTAGATATTGCTAGTCCCTAGCAATGAACTATGAAATGAAAACAAAGAAATGAACAACTATACAACTGTGAACTAGAAAGCAATAAAAGGATAAAGCCACTTTCGTAAGGAACACGGTTGCATTTAGCATATGCAACAAGCCTTTTAAACCCCTAGGTTACCCCTAGTGGACGAGTGAAATCTCTTGAGGGTTTCCAGAAACGATACCCACAAACATCAAGCTTTTTCTCACTTAAGAGGCACCAGCATTCCAAACAAGCATTAAAAGAAAACTACCTCAAGTATGCAATTTTCAACCATCTCTAAGCAATCTCCCAAAACTTCGACAACAAGCAAGCAAATATGGTCCTCCACACATCAAACAAGATGATCATGCAAATCAAAACAATCTAGCATCCTTTTTGAGTGAACCGGCATCAAATATATTGCTATCTTAGCAAATCAATGAAATGGGTACAACCGGTCTCAAATTAGCACACAAATCTAGTACCAATCATTAAGACAAAGAATGAACCTTTTTATTCAATTTATTTCCTACATATTCTCTTTTTATTTCTTTTCACTCCTCTTTTTTTTTTTTTTTTTTTTTTTTTTTTTTTTTTTTTTTTTTTTTTTTTTTTTATGAGATCAATGATAAGAGTTTGGTTTAATGGAGTGATCTCTTAAGCTCTCTTGAAGATCCATGTAACGAGCATTAGGTCAATGTCTCCCAAACAAGACAACTTTAGGACATTAGGCGTAAAGACACCCTTAAGGACTTACAAGCTCAAATCAACTAGGCTACAAATCAAAACAATTCTCATCATGTCATTTCCTCACTCCACCTTTGGTGAGAAGTGCTCACTTTATTTTCTTTTGCATATTTTATATTTTTATATTTTTTATATTTATATTTATTTTTATTTTTATTTTTATTATTATTATTATTATTATTATTATTAACTATTGTGTGGGCCCTTCACTTTTCAGTGCTAGAGTTCAATACTTAATGAGGCAAGAATCCCGGTTACTCGGTAACAGGGTTTGTTATTAGCATGCAAGGTCATCTTGTCAAGAATGAAAGCTTTCAAAGTTTACTAGCTCAATTGGGATATAACCAAAGCAATAATCAACTAAGCATGTACCCCACAAATGAATACTAGTGTGCGCATGTGCAAGTATAGAATTCTAGAGTCGAATATCAAAACAATCTTACAAACAAGATGATGTGGACCACAAAAGTAAGCATGATATTAAACTTTTTGAAAAAGTTGCCTCAAAATGGCATCCAAAGGCATACAAGGAGTATTGAACTCACAAATCAAGCAGTTTTTAAATTCTAAGTAACATAGGCCTTAAAAGATCAAAATCATCACAACATCAATCTCAAATTTCAAAATTTCAATTAAGTCTCAAACTTAAGTAGAATACAATAAAGCCATCTTACCCCCAAACATAAACCGCACATTATCCTCAATGTGCAATGAGAACAATGGAAAAGATGGAAAAAGTATACCGTGGTGGCAAAGCCTATGAAGCTTGGCAATGATCCAATTCGAAAGACGTCTCCCCCAAACCTGGAATCAATAACCTACTTGAAAAACCACACTATCAAACTCACATCAAATATCGAATGGGATAAAGAAAAAATAAATCATGCATTCAAAGACAATATAGCACAAAATAAGAGAGAAATGTGAGATCAAGCCCAAGATAAAGCATGAAAGTATGCATGACTATATAAGAGGGCACAATGGTGAAACTTTTAATTTTTCATTATAATAAAGCATACAAAGATACAAAATGCAACAAAAATGAAGAACAAAAATGTAAGAAAACATGCCAAATGCAAAAGATAAAGGATGCAATGTGTCGTGGGTGCTAAGTTTAACGTCTCTAGCAAGATGGAATGTTACATTGAATGACTCTTTTTCTTAATTATATATATATTTTTAGACAAAGATGCGATCATTTGCAAACCTGGTGATTGATCGTGAAATCTGGTGAACGTTCCCCTGGGGCATGAAATTTCCAACGATGATGGCGATCGATCGCCAAGGTTCAGTGATCGATCGTGTGTCCTTATGAATGATGGATGACTCAAATGCGATCAATCACTCTAAGTTGGTGATCAATCATCAAGGTAACAAATGATACTCTAGAGGTTTAGAATTTTTAACACACAGATGCGATCGATCTCCAAGGTCAGCGATCGATCGTGAAAACTCACGAAAGATAGATACCGAGAGGTGTTTTCAAGGCAAACATAGACTTTACAGATGGCAATTGATCGTGAATGCTTCTGCGATCGATCGAGAATACCGGCGATTGATTAAACTGGGTTGCCTGGGCACAAAATGTTGAGATTTTTGGAATTATTTCAAAGGTAAAATTTTTTAAAGGCACAAAATGCCTGAAATTTTTCAATGATGTACAATAGAACCTATCTAGGCAATGCAAGAATAAAAAACAAAAGAGAAATGGTGGAGGAATAGAGTTTGAAAGCTCTATGAAACTAGGTTTAACATCTCTAGTCGACGTTGAACTGTTCTCAATCATTAAGATAGACGGGATCCACCAAGAAGGCGGAATCTACATATCTTTGAAAGGCTTGTCCTTTAATATAAGGCTTCAATCTTTGACCATTCACTTTAAAGGTCTTTTCATCATTTAAGCTCTTGATTTCAACTGCCCCATGAGGATAAACAGAGATAATCTCATAAGGGCCTTCCCATTTAATGCAAAAATTTTCGGGAAAGAATTTAAGCCTAGAGTTAAAGAGCCATGCATTTTGCCCGGGCTCAAAGGACTTCTTCATAATGTGTTTATCATGAAAAACTTTGGTCCTTTCTTTATAGAGCTTAGCATTGTTATAGGCATTATATCTCAACTCCTCTAACTCATTCAATTGGTGCAAACGGTTCTCACCGGCCTTATCAAGATCAAGGTTAAGCTTTTTAACTACCCACAAAGCCTTATCTTCTAACTCAACTAGAAGATGACAAGGCTTCCTATAAATAAGTCTATAAGGAGACATGCCTATTGGAGTCTTGTAAGCCATCCAGTAAGCTTACAAAGCATCATTCAATTTCCTTGACCAATCTTTTCAGGTCGGGTTCACCATTTTTTTAACAATTTGCTTAATTTCCTAATTTGAAACCTCCACTTGCTCACTTGTTTGAGGATGGTAGGGAGTGGCAACCTTATGAGTGATGGAGTACTTTAAGAAAAGTTACCTCAAAAATTGATTGCAAAAGTGCTTTCCTCCATCACTAATGATTGCCTTTGGCATACCATAATGAGAAAAGATGTTTAATTTCATGAATGCAATTACCGCGGAATGGTCACTCGTTTTGGTAGCATAAGCCTCAACCCACTTTGAAACATAATCAATGGCAAGGAGGATATATTGAAAACCATACGACATTGGGAATGGTCCTATGAAATTAATGCCCCAAATGTTAAAAATTTCCACAACAAGGATCGAAGTTAAGGGCATAATGTCTCTCTTTAACATTGATCCTATTTTTTGGCGCCGGACACACTCCTTGCAAAAGTTGTAAGCATCTCTATGGATAGTGGGCTAAAAAAGGCCACTTTAAAGAACCTTCAAGACGGTATTTTTTGCATTAAAATGCCCACCACATGTAAGTGTATTACAAAACATAAGAATGCTCGGAATCTCACTTTCTAGTATACATCTTCTTATAATTTGATCTGGGCAATAACGAAACAAGATGGGATACTCCCAATAGTACTTCCGGATATTAGCAAAGAATCAGTCATTTTCTTGTCTTGACCAATTGGTGAGAAGTTTGCCAATTGCAAGGTAATTCACAATATCGGCAAACCAAGGCAACCTCCCATTAGAAATGTGAAAGAGTTGTTCATCTAGGAAAGAATCATGAAGTAAAAGACTCGGGGAAGGTTCAACCATCAACCTTGAGAGGTGGTTGACAACGACATTGTCGGAGCCTTTCTTGTCCTTGATTTCAAAGTCAAATTCTTGGAGGAGTAAGATCCATCTAATTAGGTGCGGTTTGTTTCCTTTTTGTCAAAATATGCCTTAGAGTGACATGATTGGAAAACACAATGACCTTTGATCCCAAGAGATATAACCCAAATTTATCAAGGGCATATACTATGGCAAGTAACTCCTTCTCAGTAGTGAAGTAGTTTAGTTGAGCTCCCGAGAAAGTTTTACTTGCATAGTAGATGGCACATGGAAGCTTTCTCACCTTTTGTCCCAAGACGACACCCATAGTAAAGTCGGAAGCATAATACATAATCTTAAATGGTAATGACCAATTTGGAGGTTACATGATGGGGGCGGATGATAGAAGAGTGCGAAGTTGATGAAAAGCATTAAGGCATGTTTGATCAAAGACAAATGGTGTCTCCTTAGCAAGAAGATTATATAAGGGTATAACAATTTTCCTAAAGTCTTTGATGAAACAGAGATAGAGGCAAGACCTATAAAGGAGCAGACCTCTCTCACCATAGAAGGTGGATGCAATTCGAAAATGAGCTCTATTTTCGCTTTGTCAACCTCAATTCCCCTTTGAGAAATGACATGGCCTAACACTATCCCCTCTTGAACCATGAAATGGCTCTTTTCCCAACTTAGCACAAGGTTTGTCTCGCGACATCTTTTAAGCATAAGTGAGAAATTTTAGAGGCACGAATCAAAGGATGACCCGAAGGCTGAGAAGTCATCTATGAAGACATCTAAATATTTTTCCATCATGTTCGAGAATATTGACATCATACACCTTTGGAATATGGCGGGGCCATTACCCAAACCAAATGGCATCCATCGATAAACAAATGTGCAAAAGGGATAAGTAAAGGTGGCTTTCTCTTGGTCAAGTGGGTCTAGGGCCACTCGATTGTACCCCGAGTAACCATCTAGAAAGCAATAATATTTTTGCCCGGTTAACCTTTCCAAGATTTGATCAATAAAAGGCAATAAAATGTGATCCTTCCTAGTGGCCAAATTCAATTTTTAGTAATCAATGCACACCCGCCAAGAGGTGGCGGTGCGTTTGGAAATGAGATCACCTTTTGCATTTTTCACAACCGTAATTCCTGAATTTTTGGGAACTACTTATGTTGGACTAACCCACTTGCTATTGGAGATAAGGTAGATGATCCCCGCATCCAATAGCTTCACTATCTCCTTTTTGACAACTTCCTTCATGTTTGGGTTTAATCTCCTTTGAGCATCTCTAAAGGGTTTCTTATTCTCTTCCATGTGAATGTTATGCATACATATAGATGGGTCAATTCCTTTTGGGTCAGCCATACTTCATCCAATGGCTTCCTTATTTTCTTTAAGCACTTCCAATTCTCTTTGTCCTTTTTAAGGTTTAAAGCAATAATGACCGGAAGAGTCTCTTTTGGGCCTAAAAAGACATATTTAAAGATTGGAAGGGAGAGGTTTAAGCTCATGAGTGGGTGGAGAGATGAGAGATGGAACTGGTGGAATACTAGAGAGTGGAGAAAAAAGTTCTTTTTTATTTTTTCAATGTGGGAAATCTAAGGTAGCCACAGAATCCATTAAAGCATTTACTTCGCTTATGGATCTTTCATTATCACAGCCACAATTTTCATACATTTCTAAGAGACACGCCTTAAGAGGATCCTTGGAAAAGATAGAAGAAAGTTGTTCCTCAAGAGGGTTCTTTGAGAGCATCGAAGGAATAAACTCTTCTACGACTTCATCCAAAACATCAAAAAGGCAACACTTAACTTTATCGATAGGATGTCGACTTGCATTGAAAACATTAAGTTTAACCATCATATTTCCAAAAGATATGTCCATGATGACAGACCTACAATTGATAGTTGCATTTGTTGTGGCAAAGAATGGCCTTCCTAAAATTATTGGAATGTGATTGATCGGATTGGAGACCAGTTTGGTATTTAGTACCACGAAATCAACTAGGAAGTAAAACTTATTAACCTTGATGAGGATGTCCTCAATCATTCCCGTAGGTTTCTTAACGGACCTATCGGCTAATTGGAGTACCACCGAAGTTAACTTCAAGTCACTCAATCCTAGTTGTATGTACACAGAGTAAGGGATGAGGTTAACACTTGCCCCTAAATCAAGAAGAGCCCTATGAACATCATGGTTCCCTATGGCACAAGAAATGATTGGAGCACCGGGGTCCTTGAATTTAGAAGGAGTGTTATGAAGAAAGATTGAACTCACTTGCTCCGTGAGAAGAACTTTCTCAGGGCTTTGTCCCTTATTCTTCCTCTTTTGGGTGCACAAGTCCTTCAAGAACTTTGCATATGGTGGTATCTTCCTAATAGCATCTAAGAGAAGAAGGTTAATTTTAACTTACTTGAAAACTTCCATCATGTCATGGATTTTTTCCTCTTGTCTCCCAAAAGGTGAAGTCTCTCTCAAAGCATAAGAAAATGTAGCTTTTGGCTCATAAGACTTTTTTATTTGAGGAGATGATGAAGATGATAGTGGAAGGTCCTTTTTGGAACCACTTGCATCCAAAGAAGTAGGAATGGGATCGAAAACGGGACGGGTGCTACCACTTGGCAGCACCGGTTCACTAACTTCACTTAGTTTATCTACCTTATTGTCCACTCGCCTACCACTTTTCAATGTTGTTATATGCGCACTTGTTAATGTAGAGGATATCCCGATGTAGGACTTGCCTCCACCATATAATGTGCCTTGGGATTTCTCTCGGGTTAGCTTGGTAACTTACCCTTCTCTCTTGTATTCATGGAATTAGCTATCTTCCCGATTTGGGATTCAAGTTTTGAGATGGTTTAAGAATGATAGTGTAACAATTTATTGTTTGCTTCTAAGCCACCCAAGGCCGCCAAGATCTTATCCACAAAAGTAGAGTTCCTAGAAGGAGCTTAAGAATGATGAGAGTAAACTTGAAAATTGGAAGCTTGGGGTGAAGAATATTAATTCACATTTTGATAGGGGTAGAAAGAAGAATGGTACCCTTGAGAGTTTTCATTTTGAAAATGAAAAAGCACGTACTTTTTTTTGGAAGTTTTGAAATTGTGGAGGGTTTGCACCGACTCATTGATTTTTCCAAGAAAATTATGAAATCTTTCTCCATCCCAGAATGTAAGCATTGGAATAAGGATTTTTGAAAAGTCTTGTCCTTGAGGACAATTGGAAGCATTATGATTGCAACTAGAACAAGTCATACACACTTCATTTTGTGAGTGGGTATGATAGGATGATTAAATTGCCTTTGGCTCAACAAGAATTGGTTAAGCCTTTGGGTAAGAGTTTTAACTTCGGCTACAATTTCTATTGGACTCTCTACTTGACACAAGTTTGAGTTTTTATTCCCTCCCACATTAGAATTATGACTTACCCGAGAAGATTGAAGTTTATGCATCGAATTCTCACTCATAGTTTCAAAGAGACACCAAATGTCATCCTCATGCTTTCAAAAATATGAACCTCCGCATGAAACATCCACTATACCCTTATGGGTATCGGATAAGCTCTCGTAGAAGTATTGAACTAATTGCCATTTTGAAAAGCCATGATGTGGACACTTCTTTAGCAATTCATTCAAATGCTCCCACGCTTCATGTAGGGGTTCTTCATCCCCTTTAGAAAATTCATGAATCAAAGTTCTCATTGAATTAGTTCAGCTTGCGGGGTAATATTTTTTTAGAAATTTATTTTGCAATTGAACCGATGATGTTATAGTATTAACCCCTAAGTTGTTGAACCAATATTTATCCTTGTCCCGAAGAGTGAAAGAAAAGAGTTTCAATTTGAAAACTTCTTCGGGGACATCCACTATTTTCACGGTAGAACACACCTCAAAAAAACTCATCCAAATATTTGTAGGGTTCTTCATTGATTAACCTATGGAAAATGGGACACATTTAGATAGTTAAGGGTTTAATCCTATAATGGTGGCCCTAAAATTTGGCAAAAGGATACATGTCGGCGGATTGTACACATTAGGAGTGTAATGGCCATGAATGACCATTGTAGGATTTAGAGCTTGAACTTCGGGAGGAAATTGATCTAGAGGAGGATGTTGGATCAAATTGGGTCTAGATACCCTAGATTCACATTTTGGTCTTCCATTGGAGTGATGATGATGAAGAGTAGAAAGAATTGCCCAAAAATAAGTCAATACACCAACAACATCAATTAACAATAATTCACAACCTCCACATACGATGTTCCCACACTCCCATGTTATCAATGTAAGAAATTAATGGCCGCGACAAGGACCCATGCTCTTCACATCAAAGTAAATAGCCTTGATAAGGGCTCATGCTTGTACAAAAAATTAAACAATGAACAATTAAGCTACAAGAGTTTCAAGAATTGCTCACAAAGGTCCCAGACAATAATAGCATTTTTAAGATTCAATGTTTACTTTAAGATCCAATGTGTGCTTTCCTCACATTCAAGTACCTAATTGCACAAGTAAAAAGTGAGAAAATAAAAATAAAAGTAAAGACAAGGGATTAAAAGAATACTAAGTCCTATTTGATTCCAAATACGACCGTTGACAATCCCCGGCAACGGCACCAAAATTTGACGAGACGTTTTTGCTTAGTCGCTTCACAAATGTCAAATTCCAAATGAGTGGTTTAAGAAGCCTTTTTGGTCAAATTTAAATTTATAAAACCACTACTACTACTAATGTAGTATGAAGTGAGTAGGGATCATCCCAATAGGTCGCAAGAGTATTTGGAATAAAAGTCGGATTAGTAGGTCGAATGATCAAGAGAGTGGTTTGGTTTTTTTAATTAAACTACAATTGAATTGAAAGCATGCAATGTAAAAACAAGCTAAAATGATTAGGGAGTAAAAAATATGAGAGAGGTCTTTGGGCATAGGAATCACCGCTAAGCTCTTCCTCTAACCATCTAGCCTTTAACAATTTGGGGGAATTCAATGATGTAAACAACGTGTGTGAGTGCTACCGATTGAAACAATGAGCATGGGTGACAAAAACAAGCATGAACTGTCTACTTCAGCTAGAATGTAGTACAACTCATCAAGTTAAGGCATAAACCATTCAATAAACCTACAATCGGAGCATACATTAATCTAGAGAAATATACATCTTGCAACAAAAAGTATGGATTATCAAACACAAGCATGGATTGTCGACTTAATCTAGGAATTGAAATGCAATTACACTACAATTACACTAAGACAAGGAAATTAAGCTAATTAACTAGGGGTGTAGAACAATCAATCAAGCATGAGCATAGTCCATCAAATCAATTCACAATGGTATCTATTAATAATAATCATGCATAACCATTACTAGATTCTCAATTTAATCACGCATAGACATGCATCAAATCTAGAGCAACTAGTGTAGAGACATAATTCCCAATTTAATCACGCATAAACATATAAATTAAACTAGAGAATTAATTAGAAGAATTGAACCATACAAATCATAGACAAAGTCAAGATCTATATATTAACAAGGTTAAGCATTTATTATAACATAGAATCCCCAAAAATGTCAAAGGTCTAGGGTTTAAAAGACTAGCCTAGGGCTTTTCTAAGCCCTAAGAGAATGATTTAGCCACCCATAAATGTGGTCATGGAACCCTCACGGGCTAACAAGCTTGGATCCATCCTCTTCCTCTTGGTCTTCTTGGTAGAAACCCTAGGGATGATGAAGATCTTGCCTTTTTTCTTGCTCAAAACCCTAAAATCTAGAGAGAGAAACTAAAGCTAGCTATAGACCATTGTATGTAAAATGTAACAAGTTGTGGAACCCTATACAATTGGTTCAATTTGATTTAAATACAAACTCCTTTGTGTAGGCAACAAGTTAGAACATAGCCTTCTAATTGGTTCAATCCCGCAGCCAAAAGTTAGGTGGAGCTCGGGTGCACTCATAAATTAAACAGCTCACTACTAGTAGGATTTTGATGGATCGCCAATGACTATGATTGATCAAAGATGACGTGGCATGCTGTAATACCCCTAATTTTAAAAGGATAGTCTCGGCATTTTAATTATGGTTTTATTGCATTTTTGTTTGATTAATTGCTTATTTGCTTAGTTGTTTAATTGTTTTATTACTTATTTGATTTAATTGTTAAATTGTGTATATAGTTTCCTTGATTGGTTAATTGTTTTTATTTTATTTAATTGTGATTATGATGTATTTGTTTTAGTTACATTGTTTTAGTTACGTGTGCGTAGTGGACTAATTTGTTTATAATTATATATGTCCTATATAGTTTAGGGTTTCTTTTATGTTATCATATGTGGCCGACTAGTTATAGTTTTTGGGTTTTGGTCTCTTTTTAGAACTAGAATTAGGTTTTTAAGTGAAGCCTATAAATATAACTTATACGTCTACCAAGGGTGAGGCAAATTATATTTACATATTGAGACGTCTGAGAGAAACAGAGAGAGACAACTAGGGTTTTGGCTAGGACTAAGGCTAAATCAAGGAGAGAACGAAGGAGGGTTTCTTGTGGGTTGAACCAAGGGCAACAGAGGAGTTGGAACAGTGAAAGATCGCCGAAACACTTAGGAAAACAATGCTGAGATTTTGAACTGAAATCTCACAGGCAAGTTCTATTATTAACTCTCTCCCTTAGGCTTCGTATTCTTTACATACTTAAATAGTTCCAGGATGAATTGAATGTTAAAATGTGATCTGTTTTCATGTTTAAAATTTAATCGTAACAGTATGTGGTTTATAATTTTTCAACTGTTTGAACTTGAAATTTCTTGCATGGTTCTCTGTTTAAATCAATGTTAGTAATGCAATAAGGACTTAAACACTGGTTGGAACATACTGGGACTTAGTTACGATTGCTAGGAACCTTAACAGTGAAGTACCGGAAGTGTGGAAGACGCCAAAAAAAGGGAAAACAAAGCAGAGGAGGGAGAGAGCCGGCTCTCCCTTGGAGAAAGCCGGCTCCCATGGAGTGGGAGGCGGCTCTCAAGGAGTGGGAGCTGGCTCCAAGGCTTTGGGAGGCGGCTCCCTAACCTAGGGAGAAGCTCCATGAGGTTAGGAGGCGGATCCCTTGGTTAGGGAGCTGGCTCCTTGCTGAATTTTTTTTTTTTTTTTCGTTTCCAGTGAGTTTTGGCTACTGTAGTTGGATTTCTGTTGTTCCAGATGTGTTTAGGGCTGTATGTGGGAAGTATAAATGATGCTTATAGTCATATTAAGGCTCCAAGAGGCATAATAATAAAATAATTAATTTTTATAGCTTGAACAGTATATAGTTTTAAATAAATTAGTATACTGTTTAGGTGGAGGATTGAAATTGCTGAACCCTATTCGTTAGCAATTTTCTGTGAATGATAATATAGTTGAAGCTTATATTGTAGCATATTATGACCATGTATTTTAATTATGCTCTTTAGGGATGAGTTGATGTTTAAAGGTATTATGATTTAAATTTATCTATTTACCGGATTTTGTGGAGTAGTGTGAATAAAGCATGTTTATGTACATAATTTTATTAAGCTTATTAGGGATTAATTGATGCTTACATTTATTATTTTTAGTATCAATTGTTGGATTTATGGATTAGTTGATACTTACATTTATTGTCTGTATTATCAACTGCTGGATGTTTGGATGGTATGCACCGGTATGGGACGGTGGCATACTAGGGACGGTTTAGTTTCAAAATACTAAAACCTACTTATTCTGGAATAGGGAATAGATTAATTACATAAATTAAGTCCTACCTATGTTTGTGTCAGTTCACTAAACAGTTGAATGACACACTTGGTTTCGGATGGATTTTAAATATATTATTATGGTACCACGATATGAGCATAAGTCTTAGAGTCGATGGTTAAGGAACGTATATGCATTAGGATGCATAACTGGCTATGATGGTTTGATGTGTACCCTGTTAGGCCAAGGTACTCATGCCCACTTTAGATGCATTTTACATGATGCCTACTAGTCAGGTTGAGACTGGCCTGTAGTTCAGTGAGAGTCCTATAGTGTGAATATATATATATATATCTATATATATATATATATATATATATATATATATATCTACGGACTATATAGTTATTGTTGAATTGTTTAGGATGTACATGCGTATCAGGGTCTCTGCTTAGATTGTAGTAGTATAGAACTTGCTCGTGGGCTTGACCTACTCTTATTTTTCAGGTATTAGGCGATTCCAGTCTTAGAGTTTGATCGAGCTGAGCAGGGACGATTACTCCTTCTACTGATTATGTAGTATTTCCCTCAATGATTTAGTTTTAGATGTTCTTTCAGTTATTTACATTTCCATTTGGAACTTTTATTAGGGGTCCACTAGAGATGGATCCCGAGTTGTTTAAGTATGGAAGGTTTTGGAATTATGTTGGGAGTATTGGATTTTAATTATTTAAATTTGAGGATTTATTAGTTAAAATTTTTTTTCAACGTATTTATTTCTTAAATCTTTTGTATTCCGTGTTTGTTAAATATTAATTGTCTGGTATCCCTCGGGTTTGGGCTTGGGCCTGATCAACCCATGTCTCGGAGTCGAGGGGTATCATAGTTGGTATCAGAGCACTCCAGGTTCAGTGTCTCTAGGGTATTTCGTATTGAAACTTCGGCGTAGCATTTTCTCTTGATTAGAGCTTAAGTTTAGGATTCATTATATTCCTTTATGG